GAATTCTAACGATTCTCTTCAATTCTGTATTCAATTCTCAAGTTTATATTAAATTTAATAGGTGGGGTATACCCCACCATCATTTTTAATAGTGTTCCGAACCTCATGCGATTCTGTTCGATTCTATTCGATTCCAATTTTCAGAACCATAACCTTGGTCTTGGTCTGCCTTGTGGATTATTTCTTTTTTTGCCTTTGCCCTTGGAGACTGGAAACCATCTTTGTTCTGAGTTGTTTTCTTCTTCGGTTTCCATTTCTTCATCTGTGTCATCAATTCTGTTTGTTTGGAGTTTTTTGCTAATAGTGTCTTCTTGTTTCTCTTGTTAGTTTTCTGATCTACTGGTTGTGCTAAATTGGATTTCTATAATGTTGCTTCAAGAGATGATTAGTACTGTTGTTTCTTGGCTCTGTTGAGTGTGGTGTTTAGTTTCTTGTTGTTGTTGATTTTTCTATTGCTTTTCTGTTGGTTGTATGTCAAGTTTCAGGGTGTCTTCTAAAGTTTGTTGATAGGTGTTGGATATTGGGTTGGTCAGTGGTTGCATGGGCTTCTTGGCTGCTATAAGAGTAGGCTTCGTTGCATATAATTGTGTTCTGACTGGACCAGATTCTTTTCCTGCTCTTTTCTTATATTTCAAGATAAGGATCCTAACAATTCTCTTTGATTTTATATTCGATTCTCAAGTTTATATTAAATTTAATAGGTGGGGTATACCCCATCATCATTTTTAATAGTGTTTTGAATCTCATGTGATTCTTTGCGATTCTATTCAATTTCAATTTTCAGAACTATACCTTAGGATGCATTCTGTTGCTAAAAGGAATTGTTGGAAGCTTTAGAGCTTCTATTGTAGCTTGTCATTTTTCCTTGACTTTTGTTCTATGAATTTTCAAAAAAGAAAATTTTTAAGAAATCTGTTGTGTATTGAAAAGAGTTTTTTTTTTGATATTATTAATCTATTTGATTAACATTATATATATATATATGTATTGTTATTGGTATACAGCAAGTTTGTTGCTAATCCAGACTAGGTTGTTGTATAATGATAGGTATGTAGGGGTTTGTGTTTGCTAACCAGAGGTACTTGTTAATAAACTTCTTTCTCTTTTATTACTGGTCTGATCCTCTACCACAATTCTTTATGGGCTTCTAGAATTTCTACAGCAGCTAATAACCAATTAAGATAAGTTTATTAATTATAGTGGTGCAATTGCAAATATTACAAGTTTATACAATATGAATATTTACTCTCTATTTTAACTAGTTAAACTCTTCTATTTATATTCGCTGTAACACGTATGCTGATTTACTGTGGCATTCTGCAAATCCCCAATTATACTATTTAGGCTTCTTGATACAGGGCCTGATGGATTGTGCCATGTTACATGACTATCAGTGATCCTAATGATCTATATATTTTTCTCTACTAACAATATATACAGATCCTAATGATCTTTTAATCAAATATAAAAATATGTATATATATATTTTAAAGTGTATTAGCAATAATTGTTTGGCTGGATGTTTATTCTTAATAATGATGTTTATATATATCAGAGACATTACTATCTAAAACTATACTATAATGTATCAATTGTCAATTATATTCAATACTTATTGGAATTGCTCCAAATAATGACATTTGCTGGCACTTGTTCTTAATTATATTAAATATAGAAGTTAATTTACTGAACAAATGTATTTCTTTGTTTTAATTAGTAGTGTGTATTTTCACTAGTAATTAAGCTTTATTTTTTAACTGGAGAGAAATTAAGGGGAAGTTGAAAGAAGGCACTAGAGATAATATCTATAGTAAATAAAGCTATATAATTTCTACTTGTTTTATTAAAAATAAATTCCTTTACTATCACCTGCAGCTAAGCTAACTATTTAATTTCTTATCTGTCCAATGATACCCAAGAATGTTTAAGATACTTATAACTGGTGCTTACTGCCTGAATACTGACTTATATATTGCAGAAAATAGGACTTATAATCAGATGCCTTCTTAGAATAAGTACTACCAGACCGGTTTATTACTGGATTAAAATAAGGTTAGAGCAGAAATCTGTGTGAAAGATACCAGATATTAGAAAATAATTACCAAATCTACTTGTCAAAAGTGTATATCTCATACATTTTGCAACTTCTGGCAATCATCATAACACTAATTAGATGATTGTTATGCCATAACATCTTTTCTAGAAATCATAATCTTAATGCCTACTGGATCAATATGTGAAACAACTTCTTATAAGAAACAGTACTTTTATAGATTATGATGTCAGATAACATATTAATTCTATTCAATTGTCCTTACATGGGGTTGAACTGGTATCTTGTGATTTGATCTGTGGAGTATTAACCACTATATTATAAATCTACAGGTCTTTAATATTATATTTCATTTATTATATTTTTTTTTTTTGCCTCTAATCAGACTGCAAAAGCTGCGTTTATTCATCCAATTTTGGAAAACAGTAGTACAATATAAAACTATACTAAAGCTAAACTATCATGTAATTGCAGAACACCCATCAATGAATTTAGATTTGTACATGATCCTTGAATCCTTAATACCAAGACCACCGTGTTGCCCACATGATCTAGCTATTTACTAACTATTTCACTACAAGGGAGTAGGTTCATTAAGCTATTACTGTGTGGTATTAATTATCTTAGACTTTCTGAATCTAAACTCTTTAGATGTGATCATCAGGAATGAAAAAGTTGCTCCTTTTCAAAACTAGACGTCAAAGACTATGTCTTGAATGATCTCAGCCAGCCTACATTTAGACTGTCACCCCAAATGATCCTGTGGTTCTAAGAGATAAAAAAATTTTTATTTTTTAAGAAAAAAAAGGGAATTAAAAAGGATAATTGAAGAGTTTGTTCTGATAAATAAAAACCCTCCAATATCAACTTTGGTCCATTGGGATAAATCCTTTACCACCACCTGCAGCTGGGCAAACCATTTAATTTCCACCATTCCATTGCTGACCAAAAATGTTCAAGATACTTATAACAAGTTTTATACCCATAAGGAATTATTGCTTGAAACAAGACTTATACCTTAGGGAATTATTGCTTGATGTCTTCTCAGGATAATTAACAGTAGAAGAAGCTTGTTACTAGATTGGAATGAGACTTTTTTTAATTCTAAAGAGAAAAGAAACCAGTCCAAGAGGAGAGGGGGGATTACCATAACGCTTCTTAACAAAAAGGACACCTCGTCACCTTGCTCCTTTCACTGTATCCAATTGCATCATTAGGTTTTATGTTGTATGAGATAGGGCACATGGGAGTTACGTGTCTTGTTTACATTTCTTGCTACATATAGATCAACCAGTTCAAAATTCGAGCCAATCACCATTCAAGGATTCTGGTGTAACCAAAAGTTCAGGGTCAAACTGAAGTAGGCAAAATTCTTCAGAAAAACCAGAAAAAAGTTTACATACTTGAAAAGATAGAAGGAAGCTTGAGGAAGATGAGAAAAGAGTTCCAAAAACTGTGACAGTCTTTTCTAAAGTCTTGAATCTCTGGAAGAAAAGAGGAGGGTATTTTTTTTACAGGTTCTTTTTTCTAGCGAAATTTTCTTGCCTTTAACTTTGTAGGTAGATATTTCTTGTATTTATTTGTAAAAATACAGGAATTTTATATCAAAGAGAGAAAGAAACAAGTGGGAGAGACTATTGTCTCTTGGTATAAGTGTTGTTAATGAAAGTGTATAAACTTTATTACAAGGAAATATAAAATTTTCTTAGAATGTTTGTTTTTTTGTGTTGACAAAAAGATCAGTAGAAAGAGTTTTTTTAAACTATTTTGCAATTATATTATATATAAATTTATAAATTTATTTGTTTATATTTAAACATAAATTTGAAAAATAATATAGATTTAAATTTGAAAAAGAATATAACTTATATATAATATAAAAAGATAAAAAAATAAAATATATAGTATAGTAAATAAAAAAATTATGGAATTAAAAAATAGTCAAATATTTTTAATATCCTTATTTCAATTTTCATTGCAAGATACAAATTATATTGAAAAAAAAATTTAAAACTGATTTATTATGGAAATGTTTTAATGAAACTGATACTTACCATATCTGTTGTATTTGTAATTATTTTTATTTTAAAAAAACTGGTCTTATTATATTCAAAGAACATTTTAAAAAATATCATAAAGATAAATATAATTAGCTATATATTCAAATACAATCAGTTAAACTATACAATAAAGATGATCAAGAAAAAATTATAAAACTTCTTATTCAATAAATTATATCAGATCAACAACCTTTTAATATTGTAGAAAATAAAGATTTCTGTATTTTTATTTATTTCTTGATAATCATTATAAACTTTTATCATGTTGATATATTGCAAATAATATGTTGAATTTATATGAATACCATTATAAAACAATTTGCACAATGCTTAGTACAATGTTTTAAAAATTTGTGCTTACAACAGATATATGGACTAGTTGTATGAATCTTAGTTATTTTTCAATTACTCTTTATTGGATTAATAATAATTGGCAAGTGCAACATATTTTATTAGATGTAATTCCATTACACAAATGATATACTAGAATAAATCTTTCAACAAAAGCTTTTGAAACTATTGAAAATTATAATATTGAAGATCAGATTTTTACAGTAACTACAGATAATATGACTAATATGGATATATTTAAATCTGAGCTTAATAAGATACTTGTAGACAAATATAATAATTTAGAATTTACACAGATTAGATGCATAGCACATATTCTTAACTTAGTAGTTAATAAAGGAATGTATAAAGTTAATGAATCTATTTTGAAGTTTCGTAACTTTATCAATTATATTTATAGATCACAATCAATTTTTAAAGAATTAAAAAAAGTTTTTGAATTTAGAAGCAAACCAGTTCTTGTTCTGGAACCTGATATAACAACTCATTGGAATAGTACATATAATATGATTATTAAATTATAAGAAATTTATGAAATGACAGATATTTTAGTTGCAAGTAGTTTGAAAACATTAAAAGATATTTATTCAACGGAACATGATTGGAACAAAATTAATGTAAGTATTTTATTTATTTATTTGTATATTTATTTATTTATTTATTAAAATGATAAAATATTTTAGTTATTCTCAAGCCATTCGCAGAAGCTACTATACTTTTATCATCATCTTCTTATCCTATTATGGGTGATTTATATATATCTTTTACTGGCATTTTTAGTGTTTTACAAGAGATAATCAACAAAGGATCTAATTCACAAGCAAAATCAATTGCTATAGCAATGTATACAAAGCTTTCAAATTATTGAAACAATATTCAACATGTTTGTCCAATTTCTGTTGCACTTGATCCTAATACAAAGCTTGAATGATATAAAGAAAAAGATAAGAATAGAATACATAATATTCTTCATAATACATATAAGAAATACCTGGATATACAGTAAATACTGTAATTGAACAACTTATATACAACTGGTAGAAACAGTAGAAACATCGTCACGTAATTATTTTCGTTAACTTAAGTATACTTCTATAAACACATACCAACCATGTGATAATATTCTTGATGATTATTTATTAATGCCCCTTGGAAATTGTAAAACACTCGAATATTGGAAAGCACAGGCAACTGATTTACGGTTTGCGAAACTTGCACTTATGGCAAAGGATTATCTTGTTGCACAAGCTACTAGTATTCCTAGTGAACATATTTTTTCAATTGCGAAACATACAATAACTCCAACACAAAATCGGTTAGATGAAAAAAAAGTTTGTGCAAGTCTTTGTCTTAAAACTTGGTATGAAGCTGGATTACTTGAAAAAA